TTTAAATTTAAAAAAGTGAAGAATATGAATGTATGTACGTCGCTTAACGTTTGCAGTTATAATTCCATTTGTATTCACATGTCATTGTTCACGGATAACACAATGTTGACATATCTTTTTTTTTGCAATTTACCAACAACTCAACAAACAAAATGTTAAATCCCTTATGTCGCACATACAATACTTTTATAAAATTGTATATATTTTTAAGGATATTTTCTTTTTCTATGTGATACTTCTGTACGTGAGCTATAACCATTAATTTTATTACGTTTTTATTTAGCTATTTTTCTTCAAAGAAAAAGAAAACATAAAATTTCCACATCAAAACTATTATACTTTCTTTTTCGGCAACTCACGTTTATTTACAGGCGAAAAGTGTTTTTAAGCATTTCCATCCACAAATATCTATGAACGTGTAGAGGAAATAAAAATTTCAACAAGTCTGCCAGTTAGGCAATCAGTCCTTTGGCTGATGTTGTTTAAAATAAATATTCAATTGACTCTTAGGGATAATGAACGGCAATAATCATTGACCTTTGTTATGGAGGAGAAAGGGCAAAAAGAAAACTACTTTTCCCCTAAAGTTTGTTGCAAATGAAATGAAAACATATTTTTTTGTAAATATGAATTTTAAAACCACATGTAGACACAAATTTAAAAAGAAAATATTATAATAAATTTACAGCAATTTAAACTCGATTTACTGACTAAATATACATATATATGTCTTAATTCTTCTTAATAAATGAATTTGTGGAAATTGATGTCAACTTTTCCTATAAACATATTGTTTATACAAAATTAAGCTGTTTTTTACAATCGTAATGCCCTATAAAAATGTTTGTTTTACTTCCATATAATACCGATATTACAAATTTCTTAAAATATACCTTTAGTCGTTAGCTAAAAGCTGCATCACTTAAATTACATAAAATACTCTTGGATCCTTAAAGACATAAAAACTAAAGAGTAGGGAAAATTTTTAAAAATATATTACATATGTATATGTGTGTATGTATGTATATAAAATTGTTTGAATGAAATAATAAAGAGTTTAACTCAATTATTTTATAATGCTTGTACTTAAAGTTATGAAATGTAGAAAATAGAGGATAGAGCAATATAAATGCATTTAAGATAAATTTATGGAAAATATGTTAATAAAATAAGTAATTCCATTTAATAGGGGGATAAAAGTGCAGTTTGCTACAGCATAACCAATTAAAATTCTTAAGTTTTGTGAGGATTAGCAATTGCTTAAATTGGAAGAATAAAGAAAGTTGAAGAAAATTATTATTATATAAGAAAATTGATGGATGTTTTTCTCTGTTCTGTTTTGGAAATAAAATATTCTTATAAAATGTTGTGCAAAACATTGAAAAATAAAGAACATTTAAACGAAAAAAATTAAAATTTGAAATAAAATTTATTACAAATTAAAAAAAGGAAAATCTCTGTGAAAATTTCTTAAAATAATAACATTTTGTAGAAAATTTTTAAATAAAAAGAAGATTTCAGCAAAATTTGTAAAAATTCGATTTTATTGAAAATTTTCAATTTAGAGTTTTATTTTTGCAATTAGACATGATCGAATCTTACCATTACTTACCAACCCTCTGACTTTAGAGGATTCCTAGGATTCTTGAATTAGGCCAATATCAGCTAGGAGTACCTCAGCTAGGTTATATGTAGCACATTTTTAGTGCTCCATATTAATCTACAATACCTTTAGCTCCATTGTCAGGTTTCGAGGGGGTTCTGAGAGCTTCATCTCGTTGAGCAGAGAGTTAGTAGATTCTACTTAATCTGCATCACCGCACCCCGATTTTGACGAACGAAACGCCTTCACTTTAGCGTCCCTAATCCTGAAGAAGAGCCTGGGTCCTGCTTTCTCGAGTTCAACAAAGCCCGACTCTGTGATAACAATGATAACGCATGTTTGGCCTTCGTCTTGCTCAGCACGAATGATGGACCTGTCGTCCATGTGGATGTTGGGATTCTGACGCTGCAGGCAGACCAAAATCTTATGTGCTTTCGTGGTAATTTTTGGTAACAAGATGCGTGTCCGAGGTCTCATCGGAATTCAGCTTAAGGATTAAGCCATCCCATGCGTTACTAATCTTGGCGAAATCCTTTGAGAACACAACCATGCATTTGAACACCCTGTATCCCCGATGTATCTCACGGGAGTCAAAACGAGGTGCTGTGTGTCCTCACTGACCAGTATGTGTTTCATAACTGACTCAGTTTAGATTCCACAGCACCCTATTCTATTACTACAGGGTTAATAACCACGTTTTTCACTTTTTCCAGCACCATTAGTAGGTGGTCCTTCACCATTTCATTGAATGGTTTCCTGGCTGTGATTGTGGATACTACATACGGTTCCTCTGCCTCGATCTGATGTCGCTTCCACTTGGACCTTTCATCTGTAGTGCTGCCTTAGATTTGCTGGGTACAGTTTCCAAAAACTTCTGGTACTCATCTCATTATTAACGCGATTTTCATTGTCGAGTTCATAGCGGGTGCAGTTTGCAGCATTTTTGGTTATCTTGTCAAGAATTTCAAAGAAAATGTTCTATAAAAAAAACTTTTGTTGAAAATTTTCTATATAAACACAATTTTATCCAAATTAAAAAAAATCTTCGGAGAAGTACGGTGAAATATTCAGAATTACATATTATTGCGACAAAGATACCCTGTAATAGTTACTGGAAGGTATATCTTACAGCATTGCTATCATCAGTGTTCGTCTCAAAGAGAACTTTAAAGCATAATTTTTGGTTAAAAATCTGCCTTTATATTATTATCATTCTATCTTGAGATTTGTGAAAGTTTAAAGGCCTCTAACGACAGTGAGTGCTGAACCCTTAATATAAAATGGGATGGTAGTTATTTGCAAACGCTTATAGTAAAAATATTTTCATTTACTGCTATCATGAAAAACCATAAAATTTCATTTCATTTTCCTAAACTGTATAACAGGAAGAACACACAATGACGATGACGATAATATACATGCCAACTGGATATTGTGGTTTCTATTATTATTATAACATTTCTTTGTTTTGTTTATCCTGTCGCTAAAATAAACAGTCCTAAGAAAATGAATTTGAGGTTAGTTTAGAGATCAACTTAGTTACGGCGAATAAATTCTTTTGATTTTGTGATGGTTATGAAGAAAAATAAATTAAGTTTTCAATGATTCATGGATATGTACTTAAACGAAACTAGGACTTAAGACTATATTAGTCTTATGATTTCAATATTTGGAAAGAATTGCATATTCTCGTGAATTTCATGTGGCCATTTTTACAAATTCTATTAATGGCCAACAATTTAACTCGAATTATGATAATATCCTCTATTTATAGGTTGTTACTGTATAATTTCAACTTAAAATTCTATTTAAATATCATCAACATTTTTTAATATTTACGCTTTATAAACCTAAGTGCACTCATTTCAAATATTTTCTTTTGTCTCTTAACAAGTGGTCATTATTTCATTATGACCTAACAAAACTTCAATATATTTCTTAATAAATAATAGCTCATAACAGATGTAAATTTAAATTTGTTATTGTAACAGCAATCTTAGACACACGACCTCAGTAAAATGTCTCAACAAGTCCTTTTCCTTTTTGATAAGATTACATTATTGCCATTGCTTTTTCAAACAATATTTCAAGGACAAAAGGACCATACACCAAACAATGATAACAAGTAGAATTAATAACAACATCTGTTAGTAAATGTAACATTATTGTTCGTATAATTTTTTCAAAAAAATGTAACAACATCGTTCGACAAAAACTACCGAAAGTAAGTTTCATATAAATTTATTTCTAAAGGGTTTTCCAATAGTGGGTTGAGTTTAATTGTCTATAGAACGCTTGTAATCGATATTATGGAATCGTGTTTACTTGACAATATGACGTAAGTAAGCTGTAGGACTTTGATAGTCGAAACTAAAGAATTTGCATTATGGTCAAGTGTCGCCTGAGTGTTATCCAGGTCTTAATGGAAGACCCTTAGCTTTAGCATACAATCCCAGCAAAAACATAGTAATGACTTATTCTTACTCAATAACTTACTTTTTCAATGACAACTACTTACCGTCTGTATTACTAGGAAGGAATCTATTAATGACTTACAAATAATATATTATGTAAGTACTTATATTTTAGACTTGACATATTGTTTTCGAACTTGGTAGTTAACACGACCGTAGTAGTTGGACCCAATGACGTATCCCCGTAGGCTATTTTTTCTTAGAAACGAAAGTACTAACTTAACTCTCTATTTGCAGGCGTAGTAAGTACTTACCAAACTCCCTATTTGTAAGCGAAAATAATGACCTTAAATGCATAAAACATAGTAATAACTTATTCTTACTCAATAACTTACTTTTCAATGACTACTACTTACCGTCTGCATTACTAAGAAGGAATCTATTAATTACTTACAAATAATATATTATGCAAGTACTTACATTTTAGACTTGACATATTGTTTTCGAACTTGGTTGTTAACACAACCGTAGTAGTTGGACCCAATGACGTATTCCCGTAGGCTATTTTTTTCCTAGAAACGAAAGTATTAACTTAACTCTCTATTTGCAGGCGTAGTAAGTACTTACCGAACTCCCTATTTGTAAGCAAACTTGCTAAATACTTGCCTCCAATGTCATCCCCGTGTTAAAATAATGACCTTAAATGCTAAGTATTGCATAATTCTTTACTTTTCAATATAAGTTTTTGCTGGGATGGTCTATGACAGAGCAAGTGAAAGGGTTCTAAAGGGATTTATTTTGTCAAACGTGTATACAATTTAAGGCGATACTTTTTATTGCGGGAGGATGTTTGTGAGACATGTGAGTGATTGTTTAAAACACATACATACATACAATTGTATGCTTTTACAACTAATGCTTTTCTGCAAGAGACAGGTCAGGTTTTCAATTTGGGAAAAATAAAAATAAAACTGTTGTACGACTATATGTAGAGTAAAAATATTTAAGAGTTTTATTGTAAATATAAAATATTTATTAAATCTTAAGCTAATTTGCCATAGGGAGCATTTTTGTTGACAGGGACATAGAAATCACCAGCAACCATATAAGCATTAATGACGGCACCCATGCGAATGTTGCTATAGGTGGAGCCGCACTTCTTGGCAACAGCATCTTCATAGTTGGAGCACTTGATGGTAGAGAAATCATCCTTTTTCACGGCTTCGGCATAATAGACAATAGAACGGCTGTGAGAGCAGGAACCGGTGAGATCAACACCACAACCAGGTTGAGATTGGCCACCATTAGGATAGAAAGCACCCTTGCCAATGGGTTTTAAGAAACCCAATTTACCGCCATTAGTTTGGATAGATTCAACATAGTTGGCATCAGTGCTGGACAAGCGTTTGTCGGGTTTGTCATAGTGGAACAGGGGCAGAGCAGGATCCAAACCTACAATGGTGTGAGCTTTACCGGATTTAATGTTCTTGCCTGTGAAGCCAGCAACATGAGCACCCAAGCTGTGACCAATAATTTCCAAAGTATCCAATTTCAAACCGTAATTCTTGACCAAGAAATCAACCAAAGCGGCAACTTTTTCACCAACACCCGAAACAGCCAAAACGGAGGAAGCATAATCCACAGAGCGGGCACGGCCCCAGTCTACGAAAATGAAATTGTATTCACCTTTGGATAACCAAGCCTCACGAACACCAGAGTTAATAAACTCATCTTTGCCGGATTTCCAGCCATGAATGGAAATGCGAGTGGGGTGTTTGGCATTGAAGTTAGAGGCACCAATGGTTTTTTTGGAGGCAGTAATTTCCTGAGGAGTAGTGGGATTTTTCTTGGTGTACAAGTAGAAAGTAACAGGATTGGTTGACAAACGACCTTCCATAACTTGCATACTTTCGAGATAGGCATCAGCTTCTTCCATATCAACCCATTCAAAGGTATCATCTAGGCGGGGTACATACCAACCATTTTCACCATTAACACGTTCCTCTTCGGGAAGAACATAGGCAGTAGCTAAATTGAAATAAAACACAAGTTATATTATTAATCAAGCTGAGTAAAGGGATTTAAACAATTTTCAACTTACCTGCCACAGCGAACAAAGCAACCAATAAGAAATACTTCATGTTTGCAGAATTAGAAGCAATTGCTAAATTTTTGAAATTTCTTTACTTTTATACTATTTTCTTATTGTTATATTTAAATTGATAACTTATAAACTGTTGTTGCAATAGGAAATGTTGAGATTTTTATATATATGTTTTAGAAAGTATAGGAACAATTCAATTGCTAAAAATATTTTTAAGTGTTTTGGCCGGTTTTAGCATTTTTTAGATGTTTATCTGTTATCAATACAGGATAGAAATGTTTTAAGATAAGAAAACCAATTTTATTAAATTTTACAAATCATTGATTTTATTTTCATTAATAGTATTTTGTTTAAGTGAAAACAAATATAAATGTGGGAGTTTCTAGTTGTTTTTCATAAATTGATTAACGTCACTATCAAACAATTGTAATGAATTGTTAAAGTACTATATATAAAAAATATATAGTTTTATGTTATTAAAAGTTATATGAAAATTTATTTACAAAAATTGTTTTTTTGTTGTTGACCTCTTTTTTTGCTATTGACCTCTAACTTCAAAAGTTTTACTAACCTAATTTTGAACTATTTGTAATTTTAATTACAATTGCTTTCATTACAATTACAATTAATTTCTGCAATAGTTTTTGAAAGTTTTTTGCACTTAATATAAGTAAAAACGTACTTACCGTACAACGGACACCCATCCCGGTTGATTCAAGTCCGGATTTCTCGGTTCTTTTTTTTTAAGTTTTAAAAAAATGTATTTTAAAGAAATAGAATAGAATAAACAAATAGACTCATAGTCCACAGACTAGGCAATACACTAGATCATAGAAAAGTCGATGAATAGTGAATAGATCATTCCATAGACTAGCCATAGACCAGTCCATAGATTTATCCATAGACTAGTCTATACCCTAGGCCATACACTAATCCATTGGCATGTCCGTGAATTATATAATACTTGTCCATTGACCAGCCAATGGGCTAGTCAATAGACGATTCCGTAGACTAGTCAATAGACTATAGATTAGTGCATAGACTATAGACTAGTATATAGACTAGTCAATAGACTACTCAATAGAATAGTCCATAGACTAGTTAATATACTTGTGCATAGACTAGTCAATAGACTTGTCCATAGACTATTTAATAGACTTGTCCCAAGATTAATCTATAGACTAGTTAATAGAAAACTCCATGGACTAATTAATAGACTAAATAATAGACCATTATACAAACTAGCCCTAGACCAGTTAATAGACTATTCCAGAGACTAGACAATAGACTAGTCTTTAGATTTGGCAATAGACTAATTTATACACATGTCAGTGGACTAAATAATGTACTGGTTCATAGGCTAGTCAATAGACTAGTCCGTAGGTTAGTCAGTAGACTAGATAATAGACTACCCAATAGGCTAATCAATAGACGATTCCATAGACTAGTCAATATACTAGTATATAGACTTGTCCCAAGATTAATCTGTAGACTAGCCAATAGAGAATATCAATGGACTAGTCAATAGACTAAATATTAGACTATTCCACGAACTAACCATAGACCAGCTAGTCAATAGACTAGATAATATACAACCCAATAGGCTAATCAATAGACGATTCCATAGACTACTCATAGACTCTATAAACTAGTCAATATACTAGTATATACACTTGTCCCAAGATTAATCTATATACTAGTCAATAGAGAAGTCCTTGGACTAGTCAATAGACTAAATAATAGAATATTCCACGAACAAACCATAGACCAGTTAATAGACTATTCCAAAGACTAGACAATATACTAGTCTATAGACTAATTCATAGACATGTCCGTGGACTAAATAAAAGACTAGTTTGTAGACTAGACAATAGACTACCCAATGGCTGGTCAATAGACGATTCAATAGACTGTTATATAGACTAGCCGACAGTCTGGACAATAGACTAGTCCATAGTCTAGTCAATAGATTAGTCCGCTGACTAGTCAATATCAAGTGTAAGAAAATAAAACATATTTCTACTATTCAAAAATAAAAATGAATTTCAAACTTTATTTCCACATCAACAACCATTTTAAGCCAAAGCACCATAAGGAGCTGTACTCTTAACTGGAACATAATAATCACCAGCAACCATATAAGCATTGGTCACAGCACCCATACGCACTGAGCTATAGGTAGAACCGCAACTCTTGGCGACAGCATCTTCATAGTTATTACACTTAACAGTGGCAAAGTTATCCTGTTGTACAGCTTCAACATAGTAGAGAACAGAACGGCCATGGGCACAGGAACCAGTCAAGTCAACACCACAGCCAGGTTGTGATTTACCGCCATTAGGATAGAAAGCACCTTTGCCAATGGGTTTCAAGAAACCCAATTTACCACCATTTGTCTGGATAGATTCAACATAATAAGCATCAGTGCTGGACAAACGTTTGTCGGGTTTATCGTAACTGTACAAGGGTAAGGCAGGATCCAAACCAATAATAGCATGAGCCTTGCCATTGGCAATATTCTTGCCTGTAAAGCCAGCTACATGGGCACCCAAGCTGTGGCCAATAACTTCCAAAGTATCCAAATTCAAGCCATAGTTTTTAACCAAAAAGTTGACCAAGTCAGCAATTTTTTTACCCACACCAGGAACAGCCAAAACGGAAGTAGCATAGTCTACAGAACGAGCACGTCCCCAGTCAATGGCAATCATGTTGTAGTCACCATGTGACAGCCAAGCTTCACGTATACCACTATTAACATAATCATCTTTGCTAGAGGTCCAGCCGTGTATGGTAATTCTAGTGGGATTTTTGGCATTGAAATTGGAGGCGCTTATGGATTTTTTGCTAGCGGTGATTTCCTGACCCTCAGTGGGATTGGCCTTGGTGTACAAGTAAAAGTTAACAGGATTGGTAGTCAAAAGACTGTCCACATTAGACATAGCTTCGAAATAAGATTCGGCTTCATCCTTGTCGACCCAATCAAAGCTGCCATCTACTCGTGGTATAAACCAACCATTCTCACCATTAACACGCTCATCCTCTGGGATGACAGCAGCACTAGCTGAAATTTATTTTATTGAATTTGTTCAGATATTTTAGCAATTTCAATTCTTACCAGCCACGGCACAAAAAGCTAAGAACCAGAGAAGTTTCATAGTTAAAAAACCAATATGACTACTTTGCAGAAATTCAGTTCTTTTTATAACAATTTTTTATCTTTTGTTTATGAAGTGGTCATTACAGTGGGGTCTCTTTGTTTCGTATACATTCTTGAGGAAAGTTATCTATTTTATTTAAACTAATCTTCACTAAGTACAATGTTATTTTAAATAAATTGAATTTGATAAATTGATAAATATTTAAGTGATTATTGCACCGAAGTGTGGCAGTAATCAAGCGCACTATGGGACGAAGTAATTTTTTAGCATAAATTAAAAAAATATCGTTAGGGATTTTGCAGTTTTTAACGAATTTAAGTAAATTTTAATAATTGTGTCAAAGAGTCATAATATCCTTTAATATTACGATATTGGACGTTATGATTCGCCACTTAGGGTATTGTCATTTCCGTAATTAATTTACTTTTCAAATAATTTTATTTTCAGATTTTATTATTTTGAACCATAGTGTAAAATTAATTTTTATTTTGTTATCGGACTAAATACATATAATAAGACTGCAGGTTTACGCTGTTGATAATATTCAAATTAATGTATGCATTTATTTTAAGATTCTAACTTACGAAAAGTAATTGATTTCATATTTTGCTCGGTCATCAACACAAACGTATTATTAGGTTATTTTCTATGCAAATTGATTTTGTTTGTTTTTAAGTTAAAGGTTTAAATGTTATGTGAGGAATTCCATAGCCTTGAAACATTATAAAGTCTTTAGACTGAAAAGAGACAGATAGTACAAGAACCATCAATCAAATTATACCTTATCTCAAAATTATAAAAGTTTCATCAAAAAATAAAATCTCCAATATTTAGCCCGGTTTTTTTTGGTGACTAGGGGAGAATTAAAACTGAACTAGAACTGAACTAAAACTGAACTGGAACTGAACTGGAACTGAACTGGATCTGACTTGAACTGAACTGGAACTGAACTGGAACTGAACTGGAACTGAACTGGAACTGAACTGGAACTGAACTGGAACTGAACTGGAACTGAACTGGAACTGAACTGGAACTGAACTAGAACTGAACTAGAACTGAACTAGAACTGAACTAGAACTGAACTAGAACTGAACTAGAACTGAACTAGAACTGAACTAGAACTGAACTAGAACTGAACTAGAACTGAACTAGAACTGAACTAGAACTGAACTAGAACTGAACTAGAACTGAACTAGAACTGAACTAGAACTGAACTAGAACTGAACTAGAACTGAACTAGAACTGAACTAGAACTGACCTAGAACTGAACTAGAACTGAACTAGAACTGAACTAGAACTGAACTAGAACTGAACTAGAACTGAACTAGAACTGAACTAGAACTGAACTAGAACTGAACTAGAACTGAACTAGACTACTAGAACTGAACTAGAACTGAACTAGAACTGAACTAGAACTGAACTAGAACTGAACTAGAACTGAACTAGAACTGAACTAGAACTGAACTAGAACTGAACTAGAACTGAACTAGAACTGAACTAGAACTGAACTAGAACTGAACTAGAACTGAACTAGAACTGAACTAGAACTGAACTAGAACTGAACTAGAACTGAACTAGAACTGAACTAGAACTGAACTAGAACTGAACTAGAACTGAACTAGAACTGAACTAGAACTGAACTAGAACTGAACTAGAACTGAACTAGAACTGAACTAGAACTGAACTAGAACTGAACTAGAACTGAACTAGAACTGAACTAGAACTGAACTAGAACTGAACTAGAACTGAACTAGAACTGAACTAGAACTGAACTAGAACTGAACTAGAACTGAACTAGAACTGAACTAGAACTGAACTAGAACTGAACTAGAACTGAACTAGAACTGAACTAGAACTGAACTAGAACTGAACTAGAACTGAACTAGAACTGAACTAGAACTGAACTAGAACTGAACTAGAACTGAACTAGAACTGAACTAGAACTGAACTAGAACTGAACTAGAACTGAACTAGAACTGACCTAGAACTGAACTAGAACTGAACTAGAACTGAACTAGAACTGAACTAGAACTGAACTAGTACTGAACTAGACTGAACTAGAACTGAACTAGAACTGAACTAGAACTGAACTAGAACTGAACTAGAACTGAACTAGAACTGAACTAGAACTGAACTAGAACTGAACTAGAACTGAACTGAACTAGAACTGAACTGAACTGAACTAGAACTGAACTGAACTAGAACTGAACTAAACTGAACTAGAACTGAACTAGAACTGAACTAGAACTGAACTAGAACTGAACTAGAACTGAACTAGAACTGAACTAGAACTGAACTAGAACTGAACTAGAACTGAACTAGAACTGAACTAGAACTGAACTAGAACTGAACTAGAACTGAACTAGAACTGAACTAGAACTGAACTAGAACTGAACTAGAACTGAACTAGAACTGAACTAGAACTGAACTAGAACTGAACTAGAACTGAACTAGAACTGAACTAGAACTGAACTAGAACTGAACTAGAACTGAACTAGAACTGAACTAGAACTGAACTAGAACTGAACTAGAACTGAACTAGAACTGAACTAGAACTGAACTAGAACTGAACTAGAACTGAACTAGAACTGAACTAGAACTGAACTAGAACTGAACTAGAACTGAACTAGAACTGAACTAGAACTGAACTGAACTAGAACTGAACTAGAACTGAACTAGAACTGAACTAGAACTGAACTAGAACTGAACTAAAACTGAAATAGAACTGAACTAGAACTGAACTAGAACTGAACTAGAACTGAACTAGAACTGACTAGAACTGAACTAGAACTGAACTAGAACTGACCTGGAACTGAACTGGAACTGAACTAGAACTGAACTAGAACTGAACTAGAACTGAACTAGAACTGAACTAGAACTGAACTAGAACTGAACTAGAACTGAACTAGAACTGAACTAGAACTGAACTAGAACTGAGCTAGAACTGAACTAGAACTGAACTAGAACTGAACTAGAACTGAACCAGATCTGAACTAGAACTGAACTAGAAATGAATTACAAATGAGTAACGAATATTTTGTATCTTTAATAGACCAACACATCTGTTCAGTTATTCCGGTAATTCCGTTTAAATCTATTTCGCCTTCTAAGGGTTAATAAAAAATTTACATGTCTAACGTCATGATTATTTATTTTAAACGTACCTAAACTTAACTATCTGTATAATCTATGGAAATAGAATCTTAAGTTTAAAAAAATATTTAAAATTTTATCAGCTATTAACACAAGTAAATATTTTGAAAATAAATAAAAAGAAGATTAATAACAATGATTAAAATTGGGAACATAACTGTGATTATATAAGGGTTCGCAAATATTCAGACAAATCACTAAATTAATTTCTAAAAATAAATCAAGAGCAATGAACCTATTTTTAATCAAAAATAAAATTCCAAAATGTCTGCTAAAATTAAAAAGAAATTGTTTTTAATTACTGACAAAAAATTGCAATCTTTGAGAATCTCATAGTTTTTAGTTTCATTTAATCGGTGCAAGTATACTATGGACAAATACTTAGTTCTTTGAAACACTAAGAGCTTATGTTCGCATTAATCGTACTCAGTACTTAAAACGATATTACATACATTTACTAGGAAAAAGGAAATTTTTTGGAAGCAAATTTTTTCAAATTGTTAATTATGGTGTATTCGGAATGAACCTTTAGTAATTTAGAAACATTTGAAAGTATGCAATGAATTTTGAAAAGTTTTGTTCAATATTATAATTGTCAATTAATTATTAGTATTTTTGAGAATACTTTTTTAGAACTGTACGGGTCCTTTCTAATAGCCGAGTCTCTGTTTAGTACATCCGACCGCATGTCTGTCTATCTGTCTGTCTTTTGAAATTTACTTTACTAAATTATTAGCAAGATCAGCCCATAATGATCCAAAATCCACAACTATCTAAATTTTTGGATATAAATCGATGGCAAAAAATCGTTCTCTATGCTTAAGGGTTTATAAGTAACTCATTACAATTTTCTTTAAACCAACTAGAAGTATCATAGAAAAGTATATTTTTTTCGAAATTTAATGGAGTAAAAGAAAATTTATTGATTTTTTTCTTCTTTATTAAATACATGCTTTTAAAGCATACATCAACTTATTTCAATTATAAGTCAACAAATACTAAAACTTAACTTAAGCTAATTTACCATAGGGAGCCTTGCTATTGACAGGTACATAAAATTCACCATCAACCATATAGGCATTGGTAACAGCACCCATACGTGCAGAATTATAATTCGAACCACATTTCTTGGCAACAGCCTCCTTATAGGTACCGCATTTAACAGAAGCAAAATCATCCTTTTCCACAGCTTCGACATAGTAAGTGACGGCGCGTCCATGGGAACAGGAGCCAGAAATATCAGCACCACAACCAGGCTGTTTCTTACCACCATTAGGATAGAAAGCACCCTTACCAATGGGTTTCAGGAAACCCAATTTACCACCATTAGTTTGTATAGACTCAACATAGTGGGCATCAGTGCTGGACAAACGTTTGTGGGGTTTTTTGTAGCTAAAGAGAGGTAGAGCAGGATCTAACCTACAATAGTATGAGCTTTGCCGGATTTAATATTCTTGCCGGTAAAGCCGGCAACCTGGGCACCCAAACTGTGGCCAATTATTTCTAAAGTGTCTAAATTTAAGTGAAATTCCTTGACTAAATAGTCAACCATTTCAGCTACCTTTTTACCCACACCAGGAACGGCTACAACCGAAGAGGCATAATCTATAGAACGAGCACGGCCCCAATCAACAACAATCATATTGTAATCACCATGAGACAACCAAGCTTGACGTACTCCAGTATTAACATAATCATCTTTACTATTAGTCCAACCATGAATGGTAATTCTGGTGGGATATTTGGCATTGAAATGGGAAGCCTCTATGGATTTTCTAGACATTTTGATTTCTTGATGTTCATGTGGATTGGATTTGGTGTATAAGTAAAAGGTAACTGGATTAATGGTTAAACGTCCTTCCATCATT